GTTCTGTTTTAGAATCCTTTTCTATGATTTATTTTGTTATTGGGGCGAAGACTTATACTCGTTTATCACTGGATGGTTTGTCTGGAGTGATTAGTCATTCATTAGTCACAACCCAACCCCCACGATAAAAAAATAAAGACTTCGACAGACAACGATGGCGATGTTGGGCAAATACTCCGTACAGTTGGACTCTTTCTTCTACTTTCACTTGTTTATAGACAGACCACTTTTCTAATTTCATTTTCTGCTCCTTCTTTTGTTTTCCTGCTAGTAAATGACTGTAATTCGCTTCTCCTTTCAGCTGGTCGACACCTGTCGACCTGAAAGACAAAGGCTGGCAAATTGGCGTCCCTCTGCGCCGCCGGAACGCTTCTGACGAATGCAATTCGCAGATCGTCCCTGAATCAAGTGTCTCCACATCACACCCTCCACCCTTTGAAGTTGCCGTCGCCTTTCTTCATTCTCTTAAGACCCAGCCAATGCAATACCTTATCCGGTATTCGCACAACACCCAACCAGCTTCCTTTCAGGACGAGTCACTTTAAAAGAGACGTAAACCTCGATCAACCTTTGTTCCTTGCCCCGGCGCTTGATACAAAGATATCTGGCGGCATCCATAGAAACAGATATCTGTTTCGCAATCTCGAGAACGTATCCCGCTATCCCCACGACTCATACGAACTGTCGCCCATTGGATGTCACCCGATGAAGTTCTACTTCGAGTTCATCACGACCCCGACCGCGGACACGCCTGGCACCACCATCCTACTTCACTTCGATGACAAACGGTATTTGTTTGGGCATGTCCCCGAGGGTTTGCAGCGCGCATGTTCTCATCGGGGTGTGAAACTTACACATGTTACGGATATTTTCATGTCTGGGAAGACCTCGTGGACCAATAATGGAGGGTTGCTAGGCGTCATCCTGACTGTTGCGGAATCAACAAGTACCTCTGCATGGTCGCAGGCGGAAGACTACAAGACAAGAGTGGACAGGCTGGAGAAATTGGCTGCGGAAGCTGAGGATCCCGTTCAGGCTCAGTGGTATAGAGAGCGGCTTGAGCTGAATCTGAAGAAGAACAAAAGACTCGCACAGGATTTTGAGAAGGGCAAATTGGCTATACATGGAGGGCCTAATTTGACACATGCTGTGGCTACGGCGAGGAAATTCATTTTTAGAACTGGTATGCCAGTGTTTATTCATGAATTCAATGAATTTATGGGACTTTCGGGAAATGGAGAGGTCGAGACGAAGAAAGCTGTAGCAGACCCGACGTGGTCTGACTCACATCTCAATATATGGGCATTGTCGATATCACCGTCATCGCTCCCCGAGTCTCCTACTAGCTCCGCAGGAAATACGAAAAGTAGCCGCAAGCGAAATTTGGATGAGTTCCAAGGGGGTGCGGCTGGTGCAGAAGAAATTTCAGAGAGTGAGGACGGTATCCTTTCACGCGCTCAGGACCAAATAACCCGCCAGGCTGTTGTGTCAGATATGTTCAACTCGGACTGGCGGTTGGACTCTCTTGTCGAAATGCCGCTCAGTGAAGTTCGCATGCCTGCGAGAATCTTTGTGCGCAACTCGGAAAATCATAAGATTGAATCTTACACTGGACCTAAGCCTGGTGAGACAGAGGAGCTTCCTGACTTAAACGTTCTGGTTCGTAGACCGTGGCCTGGTGCCATGATCCAATCCCTACCCCCAACAACTCCATCAGATATCTCGATTTCATACATTATTCAGCATCATGATGTCCGAGGGAAGTTTAATGCGGAGAAAGCGATAGCATTGGGGGTGCCACGGGGTCCAAAGTTCAGCAAATTGACTATGGGACACAGTGTGGAGTCTACAGATGGCAAGGAAATCACTCCCGAGATGGTTCTTGGTGAACCTCAACCAGGTGGAGGAATTGCTCTTATGGATCTACCCACGGCCGACTATGTTGAAAATCTTCTCAATAGGCCTGAGTGGACGACACCTGAGGTTATGAGAGGGTTTACAACGTTTATATGGGTCCTTGGACCCGGCGTTGGTGGGCATCCGCTAATTCAAAAGTTTGTGTCTAAAATGTCACATTACAAGCATATCGTCTCTTCTCCAGATTTCTGTCCGAACTACCTCGCTTTCCCCCATAGTTCCATGGAGACTAGCCAATTCTCAGTCCTAGATAGTGCTCGCTACAGCGTTCCACACCATGATAATGTCATCCTTCCGCAGAAGACGTTTCTTACATCCTCAGCGTTGCCAACCCCTGCAGTTGATGCTCTGAAATCGGCATTCGAGCCTGCAGTACCTGGGTTACAGCTCGAATTGCAACCTAAATTTGTCATCAAGAGGGACAATGTTCAGAAACCCCTTAACGCGGATGTCATCAAGAATGACATCCCTCCCTGGGTCATCGAGACAGCACACCAGGCGGAGCAGGAAATTGAGGGTCATGAATTCCAACAAATTTTAGCAGGTGTTCGACGTAACCTACCAGATCAAGATGCGGAGATTATTACTTTAGGAACAGGTTCTTCAGTGCCGTCGAAGTATCGAAGTGTTTCTGGGACATTGCTTACGGTTCCTGGTGTTGGAAACTATTTGTTTGATTGCGGTGAAAACACTCTTGGCCAGCTGCAGCGCGTCTTCTCGCCCCAGGAGTTGAGAAAGGTTTTGCAGGATATGAAAGTGGTATGGATTAGCCACTTACACGCTGACCACCATTTGGGAACCGTGTCAGTTATTCGCGCCTGGTACAATGTCGTCTATGGAACTTTATCATCAGCACCCTCACCCTCACCAGAGCAGGATCTCACAAAAATCTTAAGCGAGAAGAGACTGTTCGTCGTCTCCCACGCGAAAATGATCGAATGGCTCGCCGAGTATGCTGGTGTCGAGAACTTTGGCTTTGACAAAATTACTCCCCTTGAAGTAGATTCCTCTGCCGCAGATAGCTTTAGATTTAGCCACCTCGACCAAAACAGCCTACCCATACTCAACGAACGCGGGAATCCCATGAAAACTCTCCTCTCATTTAATCCGGACCAGTGTCCGTTCGCCGCTCAACTCCAAGCCGCCACAGGGCTCAGCACCCTCCTCACCACCCCAGTCATGCATTGCAACGGCTCCAAAGCAACCTCATTCGTTTTCCCATCTGGCCTCAAAGTCTCTTACTCAGGCGACTGCCGTCCATCCCGGAACTTTGCCAAAATTGGCAAGGACTCCACCGTGCTGATCCACGAGGCAACTTTCGAAGATGACATGTATCAAGACGCCCGCGCTAAACGACACAGCACCAGCGGCGAGGCGCTACAGATTGCCAAACTTATGCGTGCGAAAAATATTGTTCTCACCCATTTCAGTCAACGGTATACTCACAAACCAACCATTCCCCGCCTGCAGATCTGGGCCTCCAGTTCCGGCTCCAGTTCCGGTTCTCGCTCCCCGCGATCTTGCTCCAATTCTCCAAGCCGCCCCACGTCTCCTGGAGCAGCCATGAAGAGGAACTCATGGCGAGGTTATAACACGCCCGACGTTACCATATCTAGAAACGACTATGATAATGACGATTATGAACCCGAGACATCAGTGCGAGCTCCGCGCGCACCAAATGTAATGCAACTCGGCGACGTACCCGTTCCCGTCGTCGTTGCTTTCGACCTGATGCGGCTCCGCATCGGTGATGTGTTTTGTGCACAGAGATATGTACCTGTTCTCAACCGGTATTACAAATATAAGGAGGCGGTTGAGCTGAGCAATAAGGGTGTGAACCAGAAGCGTTCGTCATCGGGTGCAGGTGCAGGCGGAAAGGGAAAACGGAATGACCAAGGGAAGAGGGATATAAAGGGCAAAAAGGATTGGAGAGGTGGGAAGGGAGGAAAGAGAGATGATCAGCGTGGGCGTCTGCGTGATTCTGGCCCTGGTCCAAATCCTGGTTCCGGGTCCGGTTATGCTTCTAGTTATGGTTATTTTGGAGGGCATGCAGGTGGCCAGAAAGCCGCGGGGGGCATTGGAGGTCAGGATTTTCTAAATCATGTTTGATGAAAAATGGTCAGGAGATGGATGTGAAACTTTTAGATTATCCTTTTTGAGCGTGTTTCCTAACTTTTTCCTCCAGCTTTTCAATTACCTTCATTACCTTTTCTCTTCCTATTTTGAATTGCTTTGAATTCATAACATATGTGTGATACTGCACTACTCAATGTCCTCTTGTATAGGCAGCAACATTATTCATAGAACAGTAGATGAATCGATTTGTTGCATAGAATGTCAATTTATCAATATCTCTTCTTTGGATGCCTTCTGGAATATTCAAAATAGAGATATGCTTTCAAGTATGATGATGAAGATTGCAAAGATACTTTATAACTACACACAACTGTGGTCCGAGTACGGGTTTTCCGAGTGCATATTTCCCATCAACTACCCCCGTTATCTACCATGTGCTGTTTGTTACTTCCAGATATCCAGCAATGCCAAAGTTGCATTCCTCACCTCTCATGAACGGCAACTCAACTGCGCTGTCATTGACGATGGAAAGGGTTGATTCAAACCATCATTACCTTTCATCAAATGGCTCCAATAGCATGAAATAGGAGGATAACACTGGATGTGATATGCCAAAGAGGCATAAAAATAAAGACCTAAGACTTTCTTAACTGTCATCCACCGCTTTTTGCCTGCCGTAATTAAGGCCATTAACACAGCTGAGCGGGACAACACCATCGGGCGTCCTTTGTGTTCCTCGTTGTCTCCACGTCTGTTATCTCCATTTGCATCCGGCCTAGAACCCCTTCCATTCAAGCTATTCTCAAAGCACTTCTCTTCCGAACTCCTACACTAGCCAATGCCCAACTAAACAGGCTATTCGCACATGGTGAAAAGGTTCCATTCAAGCAACGGCATCTTGACTTATGAGAACCGTATCCTTCGAAATGATGGTAAGATAAATGCACGACTCGTTGGAGGATGGTATCGTGATTCAAATGGAACAGACAGAAAGTGCCAAACCCGCCATGGCCCTGCCGCTCCGGAGAAAGGGAATAGAGAAGTCCACCGAACCAACTCGTAAACCCCGCAAACGACGTCATGCACATGAGGCCAAAATTGGTGGACGACATCTGGAGGAGATCAAGGGTACACAGCGAACAGATGAAACCACGAAAGATACGAAGGATGAGCTTGAATGTCGTTCTATGAATAGGAGCATAACCGGCAGATCAAATTCTTGGAATGTCTTCGTTTTTCACTTTGCACGGCTTGTGTGAGTAGTATCATCCAGGGGAGCGTGAATAGCAGTAAGTGACATAAATTTTTGAAACCAAGGACTACTATGAATGGGTCAAGATGGGAGTGGTATGGGTCCATTTCGAAAACTTGCCTGGAAAGGCCGTTAAGGTCCTTTTCCACTTTCTGAGAAAAAAGAAGCTGATGGATTCTGAGCCTGGAGCCGCGGATGAAGAGACAAGGAGGCAAATCCGGAAACGCAACGCGGAGACAAAGAGATATATGATGCAATTGAAGGAGAAAGTGAAGAGTGGACAGGTTGACAGTGGAAGTCGGTAGGGGGAAAGCGGAAAGCATTGAGGCAATCAGGGCATACACACCAGGGCCAGGTAAACGCAAAGGGGCGATGGGAAAATTAGGGTGACAAAGACCAGCAGCCCTGGAGGAATTGCTAGAGCTGAGATTGAGCAAAAAGCAGTGGGTAGCACTAAAGCAATTCTGTTCTGTTCTATTTTCCAGTGAATCATTTTCCTGCTGCATCCCTGGCAACTTTTGACCTCCAAGGGAGACCTGTTATGTGATCTTCTAGTTGCTGGGAAGATGAAAATACAACGGCTCATTTGTTCTTTATCCCGGAAATGCAAAAGCTGGCAAAACAAACCCTTGGCCCTTATGATTATTATACATACATTTGACAGGCCGCCAGTTGCAAACATTTCAGGTAAATGTGCCGGTTATCCCATAACGTAATCCACCACCCAACGCCCGTTTACACCCAACGCCGGTCATTTCGCCATCACTATGATGAAATATTTTCAATGTTATTTCAACAACACAATTAGATTTCAAGATGATATATTATATGATGAAAATGTATATAGAAAATTACATATAAAAATATATAGCTAATTCTGTAGATGTTTGTTTGACTTAATAACTTGCCTGGAATGTGAAGTTCTAAATAGAGACAGATTCAGCAAGCAAGCAGTCATTAAATCAGTAGAGATTGCAATATTGTCAGATCACTCAGGCAGTGGATCTGCAGGCATTCTGACAGGGCTCTGAAAATGTGATTTAGTCACTTTTTGCAAAATCAAGGGTCTACTTTTCTGATTAGAAAGGTGATTTTTGAATTTTTCAATCATCTTCTTATTTAATTGTGATTGTAGCTGTACAACAGCTTGTTCTTTCTTCTGTTTTTACTTCTGAGTCTTTTTTGCATCTCTAAGCTTCTTCTCAATTTGCTGTTGAGTGACTTTCACAGTTTTATTCATCTTTTTTTGCTTCTTTGCTGTCTGATAAACTGTCTTCTGCTTCATCTGCTATGATATAATATTTATCTTCTTCTGCTTCTTAAGAATAGTGTATTATAACTTGGTATTTTACTTATAAGTCTGTTTATTCTTTTTAATGATCTCTGCAGCAGTTATCTGCTTGCAGATGCTTTGCATCTTTGTCAGTGAAAAGAACTATGTCAATGATGAATTTAAAAAATCTAGCAATCTTATTGCTCTATTATGTTTATAACATCTTTTCTCTTGATTAAGAGCTTGCTATAATTGTCTGTTCTCTATTAAAAGAATCTCTTTATCAAGAGCAAGATTTTCCCTACACAGATCACTTAATTGATATTATTAAATATTTAATGCTACTGTTACTTGACTTGTTTTATCAATTTTCATAAATCAATAATAGAAATAGATATTCTTGATTGATATATTGCATCTCTGAGAGTGCAAGATTGTATTTGAAGCTTTTTAAAAATATGTTCTAAATTGAATGAATGTAGATCAATAGCAGTAAATACAGCTTCAATATTTGAAAATATAACTATCTCTTTTCACACAGTGTCAAAAAGCTATCAAAAAGATCTCTTTATAATATATATAAATTTTATTTCAGTTTTCATTCATTCATTCAATTGTTTGAAATATAATTTACTCAATGATTCAAATATCTCAATATTTAGTGACTGTAATCAGTATGTAAAATAAAAAGAAAAGACAATAAATAGAATTTAATTTCAATCTGTATAATTGATGAATGTCATATTAACATGAGATGAGTGATCATTCAATATAAGAAGTTTATATCTGCAGTCTGTCTTCTTTTTTGTGAAAGATTCAAAGATCTTCTTTAATTATATTAACTTATATTTATTATTACTTCACTTATTTTCTGAAGTAATAAAGTAGATTTGATTTTTTTCACTATCAAAATCTTCAAGTCAAGTATCTTGGATATCTCTTGATTCTTCTTGACATATGAGAGCAAATGAAAATGAAGTTTCATCTGCATAAATTGAGACAAGTAGTGTTATGAATTCTTAACTGTTATTTTGACTGACATCTATCATATAATCTGATTTAAGTGAATTAATCAATACAATACATTTGAGAGTGTGAATGAATTCTAATAGAAATTCTTTTTCATCAAAGTTGTAAATAATCATAGATTCAAAATTATATTTCATGATTTTTATCTACAGCTGAAAAATTAATATAAATTAGTAAAATAAAAATTAAAAAAGTAGTATAAGAAAGAAATCTATTATAAAATCAAAATAATGCTTGAAGTATGTAGAATTGTCTGCAATTTTGTATTTTTGATCAATATTTCACAGATACAGTGACTTGATCATATTCTTGTGACATTCATAGAACTGAGTCATTCAGTTAACTTCAATAGATGCTTTTAAAATCTCAATAACAAGATTATGAAGGATTTGAGGTGTATAAGAGAAATCACAATCTGTCAATTGATTGATATGAAAAAGAAGCTGTTTTTCTTGTGAATCAGTAAGAACTTTGCAGTAAATAGAGCTTACTTCCTTTCTTGATATTTGAACATCTCTATAATGCCTTGATAATGTATATTCACTGATTCCATATTTTTAGCAGTCTCAGTGTAATTAGATGTTAATTGCATGTTCAAATCATCAATCACAGCTTGTATAACTGCTTTATTGTGCATGTTGTGAGTAATTAAAGATGAATGAAAAATGAAGATTTGAGTGGGTGTTGAGTGTAAACGGGCGTTGGGTGGTTGATCACGTTAACCAGGTCCTAGTGGTTGATTTCATAATCAACCTCCGGTTGGACCCTCGCATACAAGGGTCCGCCACCTCAACGTGAACCACTACCTTAATGTGAAATATTTTCTTAGATACTTTATTCCATCTTCAAAATTCAATAACCAGTCAACGCAACGACTTCTTCATATATTTTAATAGAGAATAAGACCACAGAAGCTCTAGAGTCTATAGCCAATATTGAAAATTTTAATATTAATGCATTGGCAAGATAATTTAACATTTCTTACTCATATTTGATCAATTAATTTCATAGCCACTTCTCTCACATCAAAAGAACTCCTGCTAACTGATTACTATCTTCTGGCTAAGAAAAATCACTCTGTCAGTATATAGAAACACTAGATAAGATAGATCTATCTCTCAATCAATTGATGATACTTGATGCTGCTCAATTTGTTCTTATAGATAGTTATAAAAATCTCATTGATTTTTCATCTGAGATTGAAAAACATTAAATCAAAAAATTCATCAAATATTATTTTGAATACAATACATTATAACAGAAGACTATTGACATGACAAGGAAGCAAGTTTATGAGTCATCATTCATACTTGATTAATTTAATTATTTTAAAAAGATAGTGAATAAGTTTAAGATTCAACTTAGTGATATCTACAACTTTAATGAAACAGAATTCAGAATAGAAATTGAATGAGATCAGTGAATAGTGACATAAGATCTTTGAAAACAGACTTATGTTAAAAGTTCAAATAATAGAGAAAATCTTATAATCATTGAAGTAGTTTTAACAGACAGTTTCATCATTTCTTCTTTGTATATTTTCATCATAAAGTAGCTACAAAAGCACTGAACTAATGAAATTAAAAAAAATATTATGATAAACATATTAGACACTAGCTATAACAATGATTAAATTACTTTTCAGTAAATTTAACACCTTCATTACTCTATGAAGAGTCACATCAAAGAATTTCATTATCTGCTTCTATTGAATAATTTTAATTTTTATTATATATATAAGTTCATAAATTATTGCAATAAGAATAATATTATTCTTTTCTATCTTATTTCGTATATGAGTCATCTATTATAGTCTCTGAATGAGAGGTTTTTCAAGCATTCAAGTATCATCATTCATTAGCAGTTGAAGAAGCAATAAAATATAATTATGAAAAGTTTATAAAAGTTAAATTTCTTTATATTATTATCTTTAAATGAAAGATGATATTCAGAATTCATATAATCAAGAAAAGATGAGAAGTAACAGATCTAATTTCATTTAATTTATTCATTATTCTTAATAATTTATATGAGTTTGAAACAGCTATTCATTTTCATTGATTTTTTGATCTGTATACTCCTTCAACTGTATATCAATTCAATCAATATAAGTGTAAATTGAATACTGTGGAAAATGTCAAAGACTGAATATATTCAAATTAAATTAAAAAAGCTCTATAATAGCAGTATTATAATAATCAATATAATAATTTTTCTGTAAAATAAGCTTTCAAAAACTATCACAATTATTGTAAATTGTGAACATCATCAGTCAGCATTCTGAAGATAGTATATAAGAAAGAGATCATATTCACATCTAATATACACAAGATGACAGTCATTCATCAAAAGCTTGAATAATCAGAAGGTATTTGAGAAACTGCACTTGAAATGAAAGAAAGTTATAATGAAACTTAAACAATATTATAGAGACAAGAGTATTAATGTTAGAGCCACTAAATTCACTAAAAAGAGTCATAAATAGATTGTCTACTGCATAAGCAAGTTGTATTTAATGAATCTTGCTATATTCATTGATAAATTAATTTAATATCCTGGATAAAATAATTTTCACATTAAGGTTGCGGTTCAAATTGAGGTGGCGGACCCTCGTATGCGAGGGTCTGACCGGAGGTTGATTATGAAATCAACCACTAGGGCCTGGTTAGTTAAGGGACAACAAGTCTTATTCAGCCAAGAATTCGTGTAAGTTGTGGGGCCATTGGCCCTAAGAAGGCCTCGAGTGTTATTCAAGAGCAGAACAGCAAACAAGACGATGTTGACCAGCCATCAGAGCCAACTATTGGTAACGGAAATGGTGCTGGAAGAACTTGGGAGACAGAATGTCCAGTGTGTGTTCCTGTATCAACAACAAATATAGGTCTAAGGGGCTTCCTGTAACATGGATTTCTGTGAACCAGACTCCGGACATGTACGAGTATGTGAAGGTGTTCTTTCGAATAAACAAAATCCAAAAACTGGATCAGATAAATCATGACATGGCTTATCTAAAATATAGAAATTTTTATGAATGGATTGGTCTAGCACCGGAACGTGCTCCATTCTCACCGTACTCCTAATGATGGGTTTAGGGGTCTGTTTCCGAAGAGTCAACATGTATAGTTTCCAGCACAATATGAACTGGTGGTAACTGCTATTGAACAAAAAAGACCAATGAAAACTAAAAGTGAACAGAGAGGGAAGAGCGGCTCTGAGATAATTAGGGAAGCTCAACAGGCATAGGATGAACTCTTAGCAAGACCAAATCCAGGCACTCAGAATGGGGCCCTTCGAATATCGGGTGGATGGGACAGTGTAAAAGCAAAGGAAAACGGATAGGCAGTTCAAATGAATCCTGATTTACATCAGAATAACAACAGATAGAGTATTGATGTTGAAGTAAATGTTATGAGAAATTGACACCATCCACCATCAAATATTGCAGATGATGTGAAGGTAGATGTTGAAGTGCTGAAGTGATGAACTTGCATCAATAACACCTTTTTCAGCTTCAGTTTATCCCGATTTGTCCATATTCAAACCTTGACCATAGGAATGCAATGATTCATAAATCAATACACCCACCATCAATGAACATAATATCAATCTTCTGATGCGTGTCTGATTGAAGCCGTCATTAATCACGATGACTTTCAAACCAGTGGAAATTTTTTATTAAACATAATACACTACAGGTTTGTTAAAGAGCAGATTAGGAGTAGATCATATGAATATTAATTATTGTATCCCGATCATTTTCTCTCTTCATTTTGTCCGAGGGAGGCTCCTAAGCATATTAAACTGGATTAAACGCTATTTGCTTTTCCGATATCCCAAAATCTAAAATAAGTGTTGGCGGAAAACGGGTAAAACAGGGGCAAAATAGTAAGGTAATAATTAATAACTGATAAAATCATTTCCAGAATGTACGTACATACACATACAACGCAACTTCCCCATATTTATACTACCGCAACAAAATTCAATCGAAAATTGTAGAGTTAAGACCTACTTACTGCTCACAAGCATCTCCGATCCAGGCGGACAGGGTCTCTCTCAATAACCAGACGGCTCATCTCCCTTCGAGAACATCCCCTCGTCCAAGTTCTTCCCACACTCCTCATGCCAATGGATCGGTGTGAATTTATCCGCAATCTTCTTGAACGCTTCAAGTGTGCAGAACGTGTCGTTTCCAGGTAGGTGGTTGCGTGGATTCGCTGCGCAGCCGGGAATGCGCACGGGTCGGTCATTGTACCGGAGGCGCACATAGTGTTTCTGCAAAGGGGAGGAGGGGAGATCGGATACTGCAGCGCGTACATTTTCGGAAACCTGTGTTACCTCGCGCGATGACGATTTGCTGCCGAAAAAGTTCGACATGAAACTGGAGGGATTCTTTTTCTGGGATAGGTTGTCTGTGTCTGGGATGTTCAGCTCCTCGAGGATATGGCCTGGTTTTGTAGCGTAGGGACCTCTGACAGCTTTGAAGAGCTCAATTGAAATGGATGATGTATAAGGGGGCCACTTTTCATCGTCAAATGCGCCTAAGCTATTCAAGATTGCGGCGATGGTGGTATCGTGGCAGCCGCTTATGGCAAATTTGACTGCAGTCTTGGATTCACTTCCATTTGTGGTTGGGTGCCAGCCACCATGGACGGAGGTATGGACCATGCGATCAACCACATCTCCAATAAGTGCACCGATACCTAGTTTGCGGTATTCGTTGCTCTCCTTGTATCCGGCAAACCATTCGTCCGTGGCGATCCTATCGGCTAATTCGCGGGCCTTTGGGTCGTAGAATTCGGAGGGGAGGCGGGTTCCCGGGCCGTGTGCTAGGGATGAATTGATGGTGTCCAGAATACCAGATAGGCGAGGCCGGGAATCAACTGCGATTCGGGGAGAATTCGAAGGCATCCATTTAGACCACAAGGAATTCAGGTATTCCATTTCTTCAGACTCGTTCCCTAATATTAACCAAAGTCCCCAAAGGAAGGAGATGCGTTAGTTATCAATCAATCCATCTAAAATAAAAAGTCTTGTGAACATTTTGAGTGCTTTGAGCACGTATGACTTGGCGCGAATGTACATTTATTTGCTGCCCGTTGGGCAAAAAGGCGTGCCAGCTGCCTGAAACGGTGGCAATTGCTTTCGTTAGGATACAGGGTTTCTTCTGCGGGTGACCGGACCACTATGGTAGGGGGAGGGAAGTTTGCGGTTCGAGAGTCGGGAGGGTACATTCCCCAAAAGGTTTGCTGCAACGACTCGAGAGCTCTGGGTATCGGGGTCGTGCGAAGGTACATGTCATCGGTGTTCGGCCTGACTTTCGGCATGAATCCTAGCTGGTCGACATACAGATATCGTAATCGCTGGCCCAGAGCGTAAGTGGACCGGCGCCCTTTATCCGTCAATTCTCCTGGAAAACTAATTTTCGCAATATGAGTGAATGGGCTCTCCCTTCCAAAACTAGCATTGAGAATTCCGCGTATAATTAGAAGGCCATGACTTGCCAAATGCCTTCAATTTCTCCCTCTGGGCCTACGGCCACCACCGCCTGGTCCTTTCCTCCAAATCTCTCCATCTTTCTCCGCCATTTGAATTCACTCCAGCCGGATAGATCCTCGCTTGACGCAGCGATTTGTGTGAGCCTTCTTGCGGCATGGCAATATGGCCAGTCTAGTCGAGATATATCAGCATATGAACTGGACCCGGGCGCCAGTGAAATCGTAAGAGGTGGGTGACGTTACATGAAGCCAGGCCGGTCTACCTCTCAATTAGCTAAGGGAATAAGATGAAGACAGCGGGATTGTTTTATTCCTAGAGTTGCAGGCGTACATTTTGAAAGCGAGAAGAGACGGGAGTTCGTTCACCTAGAATGCGGGATTAGAATGGGAATGAACGGGAGCAGAACAATCGAGGTAGCTTGAAGGAATTACCGTGACGGAGAAACTATCAAATATCCGGGTAGAAAAGATTAGCATGGAGTATATAAATATATATGTGCATATCTGTTTAACCAAACTGACTCACCACCTGGACCAATTGCAGCTGCAGGCCCTCTGGATAGAGCTTTTGAAGCTCTTCTTTGGAATAGGGTTCACGGGGGACGAGAGAGGTCATTTGCGGGGACCAAGTAGCAAGCCGCGAAGAGGAGCACTACAAAAGGTTTCAGAGCCTAGGTAATGGGCGGAGTGTGACTTTGTTCTTTGTTTGCTGGTATAATGGATGAATGATGTTGGGGATCTCGAGGTTAAGCCTTGAGATTAGGGATATCAAAGATGGGATGCAGAAGTTGATATCAGATATCAGATTGATGACGTGAGAGACGAAGTCACATCGATGTTTAGTAAAATCCACAATCATTCTGCAGTTGAGTTCACAGCAAATGACCAGCTGGGTATTTTTCCACACATGTTTATGTTTGAATATCTCTTTTTCCTGTTGGTAAATATTGACAACATATTTGTCATAGATTTACATGATATTATGTGATTTACAAGATTAATACAAGGACAATTAAAGGACAACAAAAGCATATAGATTTAATTTAAGATGATGTCTGGTCTGATGGCCGCACCTTTCTAATGAACCAGTGTAAATTCCTAACCTTTTTAACTCAATGTGAAATATTTATGCAAAAAGTTATTGAAGAGTTAAAAATTACCATTTCTTCTGTTAAAGCTATATAACTTGTAAAGGGCTATGCCCTAACCCCCATGATATTCAGGCTCCGCTCGCACGATCGAAGCAGCGCTAGTTATCGAGGCGGCGCCTCCACCATATTCTTATAAACTCCTAACTACCGAAGCTCCGCCCTCACGTCTCTACCACTGAGGCAGTGCCTCAATCATCCTCATATAAAGCCTCTTTCTACTGAAGCTCTGCTCTTTATAAAGGAAGTCTGATCTCTACATGATCTGTCTTTCTTTTTCCTTCCTTAATAATTTCTTCTTGTTTTTAGTGTGTAGTTATTTAGCTGTTTTCAGCAACTAACTAGTTAATGTAATCAATCACCTAACAGATCATATCACCTAACGGATCCACCTTTCATCCAAATCATTCATGCTCATTCAAAAATTCAGTATGTCAACTCACTATAGAGGGCTTCTAATTAAAGGAAGTCAAGCTTTTATTAACTAGTTATAAAAGGCTATGCCCTAACCCTCTGATACTCAGACTCCGCCTTCGTACGTGCGACCGAGGCCTTCGGCGCTATCAGAGCAGCCCTATCAATCAGCGCCTCCACCACCAAGGCCTCCATACACCACACTATCAAGCAGTGTCGCCTTTGTACATATGACTGAGGCCTTCAGTGCTATCAGAGCAGCCCTATCAAGCAGTGCCTCCACCACTGAGGCCTTTGTACAAATACCTCCACTCTACACTACTGAGGCGGCACCTCTAAACTGAGGCAACATCTCAGTCATTCTCATGTAAAAGTCTCTTAATACTAAAGTTTTTTCTAGAAAAGCAGTCTGTGATGAATAGTCAGAACGTAGCAGGCATAAGATAGTAGTATTCATAATGACTAGCTAATTTATATGATCACTATAATAATGACTATCAACTTAAGAAAAAGAAGAGAAAAAACAATGAAAAAAGAATGGAACATTCTAGAAGTAAAAAAGCAAACTTTGCAGTAAAAATTGAGACTGAAACTTAGAAAGTAACTTAAAAAACTATATTCTGATTATACATTAAAAGAAAAATTAAAGAATCATGTTTTGATAAATGAATAAAAATCTGAGACAAAGAAAACAAAAGTACTTAATATACAAGATATGGAATGAAATCAAAGTAAAAGTCTTTATTAACAAAATGTAATAGAAAATATTTTCTTCTATAATACAATTGAAACTTAAACATAACTACTATAAATCATATATAAAAAGATTTAAAAACTCTTTAAACTCTAATAAATGTGATTTCTATAACATAGTTAAAAATTCATATTATATATTAATAAACTACTCATTAAATAATAAAATAAAAAAGAAATTAAAAAAATATATTAAATTAATCAGTTGAATATAATTTTTCTCTTTAATATTAAAATAGAAAAAATATTTTTAATTAAGTTTACATAAAAAATAAAAATTATTTTTAGAGAATAAATTTAAATTTCAAATAAAATTAAAATTTGATCTATATAAATTAAAAATATTAAATTTAAAATATTATTTTATTTTTAAATATAATATATATTACTTTCTTTAAATTTTATTTTGTATTAATTTTAATTATTTTTTTGTTATATTAATTTATTTTTATTTTCTACTTATTCATTTCATATTTTATTTTTAGTTTAGTATTTTTATTACAGGTATTTAATTATAAAAATGAAGTAAAATTTTTATTTTATTATTATTCTGATTTTAATTGAGTTATAATATAATATTAAACTTTTTTTTCTTAAAAAACTTTAAAAATTAAGTAATAGATCTATATATTTTTATTTATATTTATATAAACTTCTCAATGATTGTAAATATGCTGAATATTCAAATATATATCTATATCTATATTCATATTCATATTTATATTTATATCTATATAAACTTTTCAGTAATTATAATTATATTAAGTATTTAAAATATTTATTAATTTTTTATTCTTTTTTTTATCTTTATTATAAAAGTTTTTTTTACTATTCTTTATCAGAAATTTAAAAATATTATTCAAAAGCTTTATTATTAAAATTAACAACTCTGAATAAATTTCAATTTCAATTTCAATCTCATTCATAGCTATTACTGTCAGATTTTAAATAAGTTCTTAATAGTATATATCACTAAGTTGAATATATTTTCTATACTAAGATTAAATTCTTTAAAAATATTTTATTTTTGTTAAAATCTTAGTATATCAATTCAAATTTATCTAGTTTAACATTTAAGTCTTTTTTTAATTTACAAGAATTTTCTATATATTATTTAGTAATTAACTTCTAGTTTTTTCTATTTATTTTTATCACATACTTCTCAGTTAATCACATTAAGCGTCTGACTCACTTAGCTTGCTTTGATCACTTAGCTCACTTCAATAGTTTTACTTATTTTGATCACTTTATTTATTATAATATTATTAGATTCAACTTAAGACTTTCAATTTTTTAAATAATTTTTCACTATATATTCTGCCACTTTTATCCTCTTAATAAGAGAAATTTTATCAAAAAAACTATTGTATATATTGTGAATCTTATGATTATTGAATTAAAAACTATTTTTTTTATTTATATTCTTCTAAACTCTATATCTATCAAATCATCAAATGAATTTTATTCTCTAGACAAGAATCTGATAACAAATTCAATGATAGTAAAATATAAAAGAAAATTTATAAGAATCTGATAAATGATGATCAAAATGATTAGTTTACTAATAAGTTTAATTGATTTTTTTTTTCTTTTACTTTTTTCTTACTTGTAATACAGCTATTTAAGAGTAAATTTTTTTTATAATCAGAAAATAATATTTTAATATAGCTAATAATATATAAATTAAAATTAATTTACTTTGTTATATTTTAAAAATTAAATTATTATAATTTTTAATTATTCTTACTTTAAAAATTAATTTATTTCAATTCTGAATTATATTTACTCTAAAAATTAATTTATTTTAATTTTTAATCATTTTTATATATTTAGCTACTCATTAATTTCATAATTTAATTCTCAATTTATTTTTCTCATTATAGCTATTTAATTATATAAATAAATTGAAGTTATTATTTTATTATTATCTTATTTTAATTTAGTAATGATATTTGATAAAAGATTAAATAAAAATTAAAACTATAAATTTATCTTTTATTAGAAGTTTATTAAATACTATATTATTTTAAAATAAAACTTTATAATTATATAATTTAAATACTATTTATTAAATAAATTAATAAAATAATTAAATTTTTATATAATTATATAAATATTATAATTATTGATTAAATATATTTTAAATAAATAAATAAATAATAATAATAATAATAATAATAATAAATTTATAATAATTTAATAAATAAAAATTAAAATAATTAATTTATTAGCAAATTTGATAAATTTTTATTTATTTATTTATTTTTATATTTGATATAACTGCTTAAAAGTAAATATTATTTTAAATCAAAAAATAATATTATAATAAAATTATTTATATATAAATTAAAATTATTCTTTTTTAATTTTTAACTATCTTTTCATATTTAGTTACTAATATATTTTATATTTTAATTTTCAGTTTATTATTCTTATAATAGCTGTTTATTATATAGATAAGTTGAAGCTTTTATTTTATTATCATTTTAACTCTAGTAGAGTTATAATAACAGTAAAAATTATAAATAAATAAATATTTTTTAATTTAAAAATTATAAATAAATAACTATAATAATAATAATTAATATATAAAATAAATTTTATTTTTATATATTTAATATAACTACGATAAAAAAATAAATATAAATATAAATATAAATATTAAATTTAATAACTATAAAAGATCTAATTAGAAAAAAAATTTAGAATTTTATTATTTTATTTATTATATCTGTTAAATAAATAATTATTTTAATTTATAAATTTTTATCATTTAAATTTAAATTATATTAATAATATTTTTAATATTATAGTAATTATAATAATTTTAAATATATAAAAATATTATATTCTTAATCTATTATAAATTAATTATAAAATAATAATATTGTAATCTATTAATTTAAATAATTTATTTATTTAAAAATAATATTATTTATTACAGTGTAATTATTTATATATAAATTAAAATTAATCCACTTTATTTTATTCTGAAGATTAATTTATTTTAATTTTAATTATTTTTACTATAAAGATTGATTTATTATATTTTTTAATTTTTTTTACTTTAAAGATTAATTTGATCTAATTTTTAATTAATCTATATAGTTAGTTGCTCATTCATTTTATATTTTAATTATTAATTTAGTATTTTATTGCAGCTATTTAATTAAATAAATAAATTAAAACTATTTATTTTATTATTATTATAATTTTAGTTAAATTGTAATATAATTATACATAATTATATTTATTTTTATAAAATAATATAAAGTTAAAAATTAAAATAAAAAATAAAAAA